CGATAGCTAGTGGATAAGCCCGGTCCAAGTTGTTCCCAAAAAGTTCGAAATCACAGTGGTGACGAATGAAGAGAATGTGCTTGAAGTATGTATTTTTGGGAGAGAGGGAAACACTATCGGTGATCATTGCAGAGAATCTCACAACATTTTAAGAAAATAAGCTTATCCGTGTGCTCAAAGAACACTAAATAGCTATTGGTTGGACAATAGCCGATATCAAGGGGATAAGCCCTTCTATGTGCATGCATCAGATACTGCTCGAAGATGGAGCAAAGCCATCAAGAGAAGCACAACGTCGCTTGAATCCTCCCATGATGGAGGTGGTGAAAAAAAAAATTTAAAATTGCTAGGTGTCATCTTTCCCATCTCCGATAGCTAGTGGATAAGCCCGGTCCAAGTTGTTCCCAAAAAGTTCGAAATCACAGTGGTGACGAATGAAGAGAATGTGCTTGTACCAACTCGGGTCCAAATGGGTTGGATGGTTTGTATTGATTATAGAAAACTTAATTGTGCAACCCGAAAAGATCACTTTCCCTTACCCTTTATTGATCACATGTTGGAAAAGTTAGTAGGTCATTCTCATTATTGTTTTCTTGATGGTTATTCAGGTTATAACCAAATTGTGATTGCTCTGGAGGACCAAGAGAAAATAACATTCACTTGTCCATTTGACACCTTTTCTTATCGGCGCATGCCCTTCAACCTTGGCAACGCTCCCGTAACTTTTCAAAGATGCATGATAAGTATATTCTCCGATTATATTGAAAGCATTTTTGAGGTCTTTATGGATGATTTTAGTGTTTATGGTAATACCTTTGATAGTTGCCTGGAAAATCTCACACTTGTGCTTAAGAGATGTATGGATGCTAACCTAGTACTTAATTGAGAAAAATGTTATTTTATGGTTGATCAATGCATAATGTTAGGCCATGTCATTTCTTCCAAGAGGATAGAAGTTGATAAATCTAAAATTCATCTAATTCATTCTTTACTTCCTCCAACAAGTGTGAGAGAGGTTTGTTCTTTTCTTGGACATGCAGGATTTTATTGAAGATTTATCAATGATTTTTCCAAATGTGCAGGACCACTATGCAAGTTGTTGCAAAGGGAGGTGTCATTTCACTTTGATAAAGATTATAAAAAGGCATTCGAAAGCTTGAAAGAACTTTTAACATCGGCACCCATCATTCAACCACCAAATTGGAACAGGCCATTTGAGTTGATGTGTGATGCAAGCGACTTTGCATTGGGAGCCATTTTAGGGCAACGAGTTGGAAAGACACCTCATGCTATATATTATGCATCAAGAACTTTGAATGATGCCCAACTTAATTACTCTACTACTGAAAAAGAGCTTTTAGCAGTTATTTTTGCCTTAGAGAAATTTCGTTCATATCTTATTGGCACTAAAGTAACTGTCTTTTCTGATCATGCAGCTCTTAAGTATTTGCTTGCTAAGAAAGAGGTAAAATCAAGGCTCATTAGATGGATACTCCTCTTACAAGAATTTGACCTTGAGATTAAAGACAAAAAGGGGAGTGACAATTATGTGGCTGACCACCTCAGTCGCCTTATCCATGAGAGAGAAACTCTTCCATTGCAAGAAAGCTTCCCCGATGAACAATTGCTTCTCGTCACGGACACATCTCCCTGGTTTGCAGATATAGTGAACTATTTAGTCACTAAGAAAATTTCAAGTGACTTGACCACCGCTCGAAGGCAAAAACTCAAGGCGATGGCCAAATTTTTTGTGTGGGATGAGTCGTACTTGTGGAAACACTGTTCGGATCAATTGATAAGAAGGTGCGTGCATGAAAATGAATTTCATTGAGGACTACATTTTTGCAACCGTTCCTTTTGGACCCTATTGAAAAGATACAACATCACCCATAAAGTGGCTACACCTTACCATCAGCAAACTAGTGGGCAAGTTGAAGTGTCTAACCGATAGGTCAAATCCATCCTTGAAAAAACTGTAAATCTCAATAGAAAGGATTGGAGTCTTTGCCTCAATGATGCACTCTGGGCTTATAGGACGGCATACAAAACACCGATTGGCATGTCCCCTTATCGGTTAATTTATGGTAAGCCTTGTCATCTCCCGGTTGAGCTCGAACACAAGGCATTTTGGGCAGTCAAGCAATGTAACATGAATCTAGGTGCAGCGGGTTATCAAAGAAAGCTTCAACTCAATGAACTTGAGGAAATTCGAAATGACGCCTATGAAAGTTCAAGAATTTATAAGGAAAAAATTAAGGTGTACCATGATAAAATGATTTCAAGAAAGGCTTTTTTTGTTGGACAAAAAGTTTTTCTTTTCCACTTGTGCCTCAAGTTATTTCTAGGTAAATTACATTCTCGATATATTGGTCCTTTTGTTGTTACTAATGTCTTTCCTTATGGTGCAGTAGAAATCAAAAGCCTTCAGACTGAGAAAGAGTTTAAGGTGAATGGGCATCGATTAAAGCCATATTTTGAACCCTTCGTACCACAAAACATGAAAGAAATGCGATTGGGGGATCCAATCAAAGAAGCATGAGAGAGGACACTTATTTTTGGCTTTGTGAATTTTTGTCGCCAATGGTTCCCAACCATCATCATAGCCATCACCGTCTACACCACTAGGGGAATATTTGAACCTCTTGCACTTTCTATTTCTTTTTGCATTTACATTGAGGACAACGTGCAATTTATGTTTGGGGGTAAGGTGGTATGTGCTAAATTTTTTTTGTAAAATTTTGTGATTTGTGCTATTTTTGTTCTCCCTAAAAACATAAAAATTCGGGTTAAACACTTGTTTTTATACTTGTTTGTGTTATTTGATAGTTTTTCCAATTGCATTTTGAGTATTGCATTGCATTGATTTATGAATTGGGAACATGAATACTAAGTGCTGTTTATTTTCATCCACTTATTCCATGATTGACTCTTTATTGAGCACTTGGGTCATAAGGTTCATCACACGCACTTATTGGTTGCACTTGTAGGTTGTTAACGAATTTAAATGACCATGCTATTGGAAATTCTTCAATTACTCTACCAATGAAAGGATAAGTTTCGGGGTGATTAAACAGGTGAAAGAAATTATTTAGAATTGTATTAATTTCCGACTCAGTGATTGATTTTGTGGAATGTTCTTAGACTTCAATGAAAGTTAGATGTTGTTTTCCATCTATTGATATTTCATTAAAAAAAATCTGTAGGAAAAAGTTGCCTACCTTAAGGAGTGTGAGTCAGCATTGAGTAATCTGGCCCTATACATCACTAATGTGTAGGAGACGATCTACAAATGAAGAAGGCTACCCTTAGGGGCTAGAGCGAGAACTACCTACATTGAAAAATGAAGAAAAATAAAAGGGATGTTATAAGCATCTAGAGGTGATTTTGTTGAAGAATTGATGGATTGTGAATAATTTGCCTAACATAAGTTTGTGGTCTAAGCACTTAAATTTTTTTTGCGAATTAATACATGACTAGATGATCTATTTTATCGGTTCAACCCAACCAAATTTGAGAGGGAAAGATTGAGTGATTTGAGGGCAACCTTAAGTTTTTGACACATTAGGCTAGAGTGAAAATATCAAGTTTGGAGGAGTGTGCATCCCACGAGTGAGAAAGAAAAATTTGACCATTGAGGGTCGGGAAAATCACCAACTTATATATTGCGATGAATTGGAATGATCACACACACACACACACACACAAGTCAAGCATGGTATAAGTTAAAGAGTATTTGTTGTAGCATTTTTGTGAACATTTCATAAGTTAGTTGCATAATGTAAGGCTTGAAGCAAGTGGCAAACTATCTAACATTTGGAGTGTTTGTTATTATAGTATTATTGTTTGGTTTTAATTTACGTGTTTGTATAGCTTTGTTCGAGGACTAACTAATATTTAAGTTTGGGAGTGTGATAAGTGCGGGTTTTTGCACTATTTCGAGCCATTAAACTTAGATATTTGTGAGTTTCATTAGCGATTTATTACTTAATTTAGTTATTTTTATTGTGTAGGCGAAAACCCGACTTTGAACAATGATTTGAAGGTAGTTATGCGAGAAAAGACGAAAAAGATAAAGAAAACATGAAGACGTTGAAAGATGATGTTTCTAAAAAAATAATTAAAATAAAAATAAAAATAAATTCAGCAAGTTGGGCGCTAGAAAACAGAAACTGTGGCGCTCAGGCGCCACTGTTCCGGCGCCTAGGCGCCACCCAGGCCATTTTTAATTGTTTTCAAAATCTTAGGGACCAATGCTGCAATTTTCTTTATGTTTTAGGTTAAAACATTCAATCAAACACAAAATTTTGATTCTTGGAACTCTAGGGGAGCAGCTGGTTCTTCTTCTTCTTCTTGCCTTTTGTTTTCTTTCTTTTTCCTATTGCTTTCACCTATATTTTCTTAGACATTTTGGGGAAGATTGGAACATGGAGATGGTGCATTAACTTGGAGAAGATGACCCATTGATATTGGAGGATTTTCTACAATTTCTCTCTTTATCAATAAGTTTTTCTTTTCACTTTTTCCATCAATGTTTTGTAAGAAATTATTAGTTATTTGTGAATATTTCATGGGTAACTAATTATATTTGTGATTGGAGATTATTTCAAACCCGAGTTATGATTTTCAATTAATGTGTGCTTTATAATTCTCTTGATTAATGTGTTTATTCCATTGTGTTAAATGTTTATTTTGTTCTTTTTGATTGTTTAGGTGTACAACTAAATGATTAAATTATTTCGATGAATGCTATTTTGGGATTAGTAGTACGTAATAACTATTGATTCTAAAATCTAGTAGCAATTACATTTCGATAGATTATGAAGAATTTTCAATTGAATGTATGTGGATTAACACTTAAACTAGTAAACCGAGCTTGCGAGTTTACCCTTAATTCAATTCATCTCTTTTGTCGTAATGCGTTTGTTAAATTAAATTTAGATAGTTTATTCTAGGTTGTTTAATGAATAGAGTTGAGTAAAGAGTTTATTTTATTCGACTAACATGTAAGAAAAGATTGAGATAATTGAGCTTGTAATTATTCTCGAATTGTTGTTAATCTTGAGAACGAAAATTTATTGTGATTATTGACATGAAAATCATTCTTGTGGCGACGAAATATCCCCCAATCACATTTTCTCACATTCAATCAAGAACCAATTTGTTTATTTCAAATTTCAAGTCTTTTCTAGTTTGAATTTATAGATTTCCTTAGTTCAACAAAACAAACCCCTCCATTTAATATATTTCGTATATTATTATTAATTTTACTTTTTAATGCGCAATTGATATAATTGAATCAATCCTCTGCGAGAAATGACATTTACTTGTCATAATACTATTTAAGACAACACATTTAAGTTAAGTAGGGAAAATTAATTGGAACGTGACTTGTAACGTATGAATAACTACTCATAATTGAATTGGTTGTATTTCTTCTTTCTTCTCACGTTTTGGTCATGATGACATTTTTACGACATGAATTCCTTTTGCATCATAGTTTTTTTAATCAAGTATTTTCGTTCAAATCCATAATCAAACATTCACAATTAATGAATTAAGTTATATCAATTTATTAATGTCACGCCAATAATTGCATTCATTAATGTGAAGTTGGATGGAATGAGTTAATTAAAAATGAATGAAATTTAGTGACCTACTTAACCTAGGACGTAAATTTTGTAGTTTTAAAATTTGTTGATATGAAACAAAATAATCATTTATTGATGATTGACTCACTCATTCTTGTTCGATCACTTCGATCCATGCATATCAAGACATAAGTAATTTCTATTGTGTACTTTTTCTTGAAAATAAGAAAAGACAAGGTATCAAAAAACTATTTAACATTCAGAAAGCATTATGCATTATCACAATTTTACTCTTTGACTTTAGAGTTGCACGTTTATGTATTCTACATTAAAAGCATAGTATTAAATAGAACCAATGGTATAAAATATTATATAAAAAAATAATAGTTTCATTTAATTTTAATAAAATCTATAATCGTAATCAGTATACATTGTTTAACATTAAATAATCATTCAA